TTGTATCAGGTTTCCATGGGGATTGTTTCACGGCTCTGGGATTTGGGTCCTAGAAGGACTACGGTCTTTTGAGGGCTTTTGGGGGTTTATGATGTGAATCTATAGGGGGTTTTGGGGATTCGGAGTTCTGTCTGAGGCCGTAGTCTAGTAGAGTACATGTGAGATCTTACCGTGCAGCGTCTCCATGGAGGAAGACGGGTGGCTCCACGCCCGGAGGCGAAACCGAAGAGGTGGGACGTGATTGTTTGGAGGTATGCATCACTGGGTACATAGTAGGAGCCAGGAAGTTGAACATGCTTATCCTCATGCCCTTAAAGCATAAGTGATGCTAGCCCAGCTTTCTGAGATTTCCTGCGTGCATCACTAGGTATAGAAGCCTCACACATTCCATCCTTATGAAACTGCAACAGACACCTTGTAAACCGCTGTAGCGCGCTTACGAAACCCTTCTAAAGCCCACGTGAACTTTTGGTAAACAGCGGATTACAGGACTTAGCCAGGGTGGTTTTGAGCGCCTGGATTAGAAGCAAAGGTCAAGTCATAAGTGTAGCCACCTCAATTACAGAACCCTGCGTACAAAGTCTGCAGATCTGCTAGGTGATCGTCCACCCACAGCACTCCCGAAGCCCGAACCCCTGAACCCTAAACTTTAAACCCTAAGCCGTAAATCCTAAACTTAAAACCCTAATCCCTAAACCCTAAACCCTAAACCCTAGACCTTAAACTTTAAACCCTAAGCCCTAAGCCCCAAGGACTCGAAGGGCCCAAAAGCACTCTGGTAGACTGTCTGGTGCTTAGTAGGGAATGGGGGAATGGGTTATAGAGACTACTATAAGGGACCTTAAGGGACTATCATAGGGATCCATTCCCCCATTCCCGATTACCCTAAACCCTAAACCCTAAACCCTAAACCCCTAAACCCTAAACCCCTAAACCCTAAACCCTAAACCCTAAACCCTAAACCCTAAACCCTAAACCCTAATAAGCACCAGACAGTAGAGGCCCTCGCCCTCCGCCAAGCTCTGGAGTCTCGTCGCGGCACGGTGTCTTCCCTCCAGGCGCGGCAGGGCCGAGCCCGAGGAGTAGAGCCCCTCAGTTTAGGGTTTAGGGTGTAGGGTGTAGGGTTTAGGGTTTAGGGTTTAGGGTTTAGGTCTCAAATGGGTAGTTCTCTAAGTTAGGGTCCCTTTTGGGGTCCTTTTTATAAGGGTGCCGTAGTATCCGAAAAAGGGACCCTAATTAAGAGAATTACCCAAATGTGTTCAGGGACTTAGGGTTCAGGGTTTGGGGTTCAGGGTTCAGGATTCAGGGTTTAATTAGGGTTGAGGGTTTAGGGTTCAGGATTTAGGGGTTTAATTATGGTTGAGGGTTTAGGGTTCAGGATTTAGGGAAAAGGGTTTAGGGTTCAGGGTTCAAGGTCTAGGGTTCAGGATGGAGGGTTTAAGGCCTGGTAGGGCCTGAAGAGCCGGAGAAAAGGGAGCATTGCCTTTGTAGCGTAGGATCCTACACTGTGGCTTCAGGCCTAAACCCTAAACCCTAAACCCTAAACCCTAAACCGCTTGACGGAAGGCCCTAAAACTATGAAGCCCTAACGCCCCGCAAAAAGCTCTGAAGCTCCAAAATTCCCCTTCTCAGGCTGCCCTTCGCCAAGAGGCCGCGATGTGGCTTTGTGGTACATGGCATTCGCCTTCTCTTTTGGGCTTTCTAAGGCTTCTATAACTCCTAGACTCCTGTTGAAAGGTCACTGCAGAGGGGATTAAGAGGTGGGGAAACAGAGGAATCACTCGAAACCCTAAACCCCTGTTTCATATGTATATAAACCCTAAGCGACTTAGCCGGCATTTCGTCATTTTGC